GGTTTCAAGATACTACTCCAACCCCTCCTCAAACTGCATCATCATAGCCACACAACAGCCAGGCAGAACAACCAATCCCTAGTTTTTGAGGGCAAAATCTGCCATACACAAATGCCTGGTGCTTCCTCTGCATCACACAATGTGTGTGGTTATTTGTGCTGGTGGTTTGAGAGATGATTTTCCTAGATGTACTAGAGCCTTTAAATCTTGAAACATTTAGTAACAGACTGAACTTATCTACCTAGGGCTTTCAACCAATCTATCCAACCACCTGTAAATCATTCACCAAATCGCTTGGAACTCAGCTGAGAAGGAGCATATTTCAGGGGAAATAAAACAAGAATGGCTCAAAATAGCCAAAGTTGAAATTCACAGTCCTCCAGATCAGTTCAGGGCATAATTGTTGGGGCTGAACAGTCTGTAGTCTCTGTCCTGTATATATCTCACAACTCCACCAATGTGTGTTGCCACCAGTGTGTGGTACCACTTCTCAACATCAGCCTATTTTTGTCCAATGACATGATTATAAACAATGTTTCTGCAGAAAACCTATCCAGGGTATTACAAATCTTGATCATCTGTGATTAATGAGATTGTGGGAGTGGGTTTTTTTTTTCCTGGACAGTTCTGTTTTCACATGGTGCTTTGACTTAATGCACCCAGTAGAAACAAGTCTATTCACAATGCTTCATATTTGCAAAGAACTCATTGAAATGATAAGTTAAATGCTCAGAAAACTGCTGAAAAAAAAACAAAGCCATCAAAATCTAAGTTAATTAGCATTAGCTAAGTAACTGCAGGAATAACTGAATTAGCCTATTTTCTCGCTCTAAGTAAAGATTAAAACGTATTCAATTTATGGCAATTTTTAAGTTGCTAAGGATTATGAGAACAATGCACACTATTTTCAGCTCACCAAGGAGAGTGAATCAAATGCAGGAGCCCAGTCTTTCAAAAACAGTCCTTCAGATGATTCATCTGCAGAAGCCTGGCTGGAATGCCCTGTATGGCCTTACACCATCTCATTGCCTCTCTGTGGGAGCCAAGGCAAAGTCCCCCACACACACCCATACAAGTAATTAAGAGATTTGGCTTAAAAAGGAAATCTTGTACATGTCATGCATGTCAGAGGAACTCCAAGAACAGGCAGATCCCATGGCCCAGCCAGGGTGCAAAGGCTTCACTCCAGTAAAGGAAATAACTGGTGAATGAACTTTGGATAAGTCTCATTATGTCAAATTTAGCTGCTGGTGCTGGTTAAACTTTGGTTCTTTGTGTCTAAAATAGGACATTTCTATTACAAATGTTATTATCCATTTTTTATATATATAGACAGGCAAGGAAAGAGAGGCAGTGGGGTCACCCTCTGTGTGGAAAAAAAAAGGGATAGCACAGAGCTGTCTTTGAGAAGCAGTGACTAACAGGCCAAGCCCGCAGAGGAAACCTCATGGTTACAGACTGCCCTATCAAGAGGAGGATGGTGATGAAGCATCCTTACTTCAGCTACAAGATGCACCATGGCCACAGGCTGGTCCTGATGATCCTCCTGAGGGACTTAACTCTGTCATCTGCTGCAAAAGCAGCCAGAAAGCTGTAAGCAGTCCAGGAGACTCTGAGAGAGGATAAATTTTTAATTCACATGATAGACAGTTCAACCAGACAAGTGGTACTGGATTTGTTGCTCACCAACACAGATGGACTTGGGAATACTTGTGGATGAAAACCTGGACATGAGCTGGCCATGTGTGTCCACAGCCCAGAAAGCCAACCATATCCTGGGCTGCTCCACAAGAAGCATAGCCAGCAGGTGGAGAGGGAGATTCTCCCCCTCTACTATGCTCTGGTGAGACCCCACATGGAGTACTGCATCAGTACAGGACAGACATGGACCTGTTGGATAAGGTCCAGTGGCCATGAGAATGATCAGAGGACTGGAACCCCTCTGAGGTCTGTGAGGGCAGACTGAGGGAGTTGAGGGTCATTCAACTTAGAGAAGAGAAAGCTTCAGGGACAACCTACTGAGGCCTTCAATATATGAGGTCTTTTAAGATATTGGAGGGAGATGTTGTACCAAAGCCTGTAGCAGCAGGACAAGGGATAACAGTGGTAAAGTGAAAGTGGATGGGTCTAGACAGGACATAAGGAAGAAATTCTTTACAGTTAGGGTGGTGAGGCACTGGGACAGGTTGCCCAGAGAGGCTGTGGATGTCCCATCATTGCAAGTGGTCAAGCTCAGGATGGGCAACCTGATCTACTGAATGGTGTCCCTGTCCATGGCAGGGGGAGCTGGACAGGCTTATCTTTAAAAGGTCCCTTCTGACCCTCCTGTTACTCTATGATTTATCGGAAAAGAACGGTTTAGAATTTTCAAAAGAAATTCTGAACATATCGCCAGAAGTAAAACTTTACAAGCAATTGCATTTGCTTTCCTTCTTTCTGCACCAATGAGTTTTACAAGGCAAAGGATTCATAGGTTAATTGTACAAGACAGAGCTGCAGTGGGATCTGATGTTACCTACTGAGTGAGAATTCAGTATGAAGTAGGATATCTTTTGCTTTAGGAATTATTCTGAAAAACATAAACAATGCTGAAGTCTTTATGATGGGTCTTCACATGAGAAGTAGCACATTGGGAAGAAAATACATTTTCTGAAAGCCATGTTAATATTCACATTGTAAAGGGCACTTGCATGTTCAGACTGAAAAAAAGACTTTTATGCATTCAAAGTCCAAACAGAATAAAACCAGTGTGTATTTCCTTTGCCTTGCAAATAACTATTCAACAGGACCAGGACCCAGAGGCCATGAATATAATTTACTACCAAGGGGCTACAGATAAGTAAAGAGCAAGAAAGTAAATTTTGCATTAACAGCCAAATGGCATGCTGTATGCACGACTGAGGTTAGAGAAGAGAGTGTCTTGAAGACATTCATATCTCCTGATAGAGTCAATTTTAGGGTTCTTTTCCCTATTTCTTCTTCTCGTCCTGCACTTGGAAGAGATCTAATCACCATGCAGAGGTACCTGTGGGTAAATAAGGGCTGACATCCCCAGGTGGGGATTAGACTGCAGAATGTAGCTCTGTCGATCACCTCTAAAACCCTGGTGTTCGTGCCAGTGGTGAGATCGTGGAGAGGCTGAGGTTGGGATTGTGTCAGAAAGCTCTGACAGAAGTGTGCTGGGGACAGCTCTTGCTGCAGGGTGACGCACAGCAGTCCCAGTGCCAGACCAGCAACAACTAATGGATGAGCTGATATGTCCCGCTCTGAAATCTAGAAAGTCAAACCAAGACAAATCTTTTAGCTGCTTTGCTTTTCTTGTTTTTTTTTTTTTTTTTTTTTTCCCCTTTTTTTTAGTGCAATGCAACGTTTCTTTGAGAAACCCTTCGAAATCAAACTAAACTATTTAAGCGATATCCCTGTGCCGAAAGTTATACTTTAAACCACTTGGTATTTGCACAATCTATTTGTCTGAGGCATTTACATGCTGAAACTGATATTATTATTTCAAAAATTCATAGATTTTAACACGTTTATCCTCACAGCATTCACACATGGCAGGAAGGGCTGTTATTTCCACATCCCAAAGGAGGAGCAGGGGCACAAAGGCTGTGCCTAATATGTCCCTGAACAGGAACAGGGCACAGCTCTGCATACACTGTCAAGGCTCCTGGCACACTCCTCTGCAGCATAAAGAAATGGATATTAAAATTCAGGATACTGCTGTTCAGCCCTGAACAGCCAGCTCTCTCTTATCAAGTTTTAACTGATGCCTTCTTTCCTTCCCCTCTCTCGCTGGTATGATGCGTTTGGCTGCACCCATATCTATGCACCTTAGGTGAAATACTGGCTTTATGTAAGTGGATTTTTAACTTTGTATGTCACACCTCTGCTGCTTTAGGTTTCCACACATCTGCACCGTAAGGATAAATAAATCTATGCAATGATGGCCATCACTGCTCATGCTGTTACACTGAGTCACCAGGCAGCCTGGGTTGTGTTCTGTCTACGTTTCTCTACAGACATGGATGGGATGGAGGGATAAAGCCACTGCACAGGTACTCTACAGCATGGGCTACCTAGAGAAACACTGGAGGGCATCAAGGCATACCTGAATATATTTTTCAAAATAGTCAATAGGTCCTAGCAAACAAGCCTGTTCACTTTTACCTGTTCCCAGATGGGCCACAGTGCTCCTCGGTGGACAATGCCACAGGACAGATTCCAGTGCTCATTTCTTTTAACAACTTACTGTATGAAGAGTAGCATTGACTTGAGAGAAAAATAGGAAAACAAACAAACAAACAAACAAAAAACCCAAACCAAATTAATCTTAACCAGAATTAATTAGGAAAGTATTGTCTTTCTGAGGGCAAGAAAATTACAAGACCAAATGATCTGAGACCACAACGTAAATCAATGACAGAGTAAGATGAGCTCAAGATTTTCAGACCTGTGTGCTCTAACCACAAAAACATCCTTGCAAGACTCTGGCGAGCAGCAGCCCCTGGTTTCTGTTACACATTGCTAGTACACAGGCTAGGATATTTTTCTGTAGAAAAGGAGACCCGTCCGACATCCACTCTGCACTACTCCATCTTTTAGCTTACAGCAGAACATTGCAATTCCTCCAGCAGAATACACTCGGTCTTCCCAGCACATCAGAGACAGTCTAATGAGCACCTACCACTGAGATAACTGTGTCTGCTTCTACTTTTTCTACCATATGGCTCAACTTCTGCCTTTCCCTCCTTCCTTTTGAAGCCATGAGCTGTCTCATCTGCCACTGCCCCTGTGGTGGCAGCAGGAGCCCCTGCTCTGGCAGCTGCATGGCCAGCACACACAGCAACATACCAAAATGTAGAGCCAGCCAATCCTTCCTGACTCATTAACGGCTGACAGGTGCTTGCACTGGTCCTTCCCAACGTTAGAGTCACACCATTATGTCATTTGCCTTGCCTGTCACAGACCAGGGAAAGCAACCAAGCAATAAAACATACCTGTGCCTGCCTCCCAGCAGCACCCAAAGGGCTGTAATGGACAGAATGGCTTTAGGTGGCCTATAGCGGAAGATGAGTGCCAAGTACACTCCCATCTGGGATGTCTCCACACGCTGTGCTGCTGCAGATGTGGACAGCAGTCTGTCCACCTGTGTGACAAGGGAAACCTGTAGCAGAACACCTTGTGCAGGAAGAACCGCTTGGATGAAGTTGCACACAAGTGGAGCAGGCTGAGAGCAGACGTGGTCAGGAAAGAAGCTCGGCCCCAGGTGATAACCTGTGGTGGGTTAAGGGTTAGACTTGATGACCTTGAAGGTCCTTTCAAATCCAAAAGATTCTACGGTTATGAGTCTATTGCATGACTATCACATGGTCACATTTAACAGCATACGCCAAGAAAAAGAATATTCAAGCCAGGGAGCAGCTCTAGACCTTCAGCCAAATGAACAGACAGTAGCTGCATCAGTTGGTTTTTGTTTGGTTTTGGTTGTTTTTTGTTTTGCTTTTCCTCATTTGATTTTTTTGCCTGTGCTGTTTTGCAAACAATTGCCTTTTTGCACTAAACATACACAGCCTTGAATGCACCAGTGAATTTCTGGAGTTAATTCAGCTCAGGCAGCACTGCTCACTCCTACCCCGTTATAAAGTAAATTTCCCTAGTGTCTCCCTAGTTGTTTCCATACCCTCTTTCTAGGAGCTGCTGTGGCCACATCTCCATAGTGAGGAAAGGGACTACAACTGCAACCATGTTAAACTCCCAGGGGAAGAGGGTGCAAGATAAAACACCTTCCCCCAGGAAATTTACTTTAAAAAAAAATGTATTTCATCTGGTGTAAAGAGTGACCAAATCTCCTGTGACAGAAACCTAACCTACATTTCCCTCACCACCCTTCAAACTAGACAAGACATCACCAATGTGAATCAAAACTTCTATATTGCAAATCCAGCTGCAATACTATCTGAAAAAAAACCCAACCAGATTTAAAAGCTTCTGGCAGAGAGTTTCCAGCCCCAAGAAGCAAACCCTCAGAAACACTTTCTGCACATGGTCCTGCCCCATGCCTACAAGGGAACAAGTAATAACTGATGGAAACGACCCTGGGCTTCAGTGAGATAAATATTGCCACAGATAAGTGCAGGTATCAATCAGAGTGAAGCAATTTCCCTTTTTTTCTGCTCAGTGTCATTTCACTATGTTTACACTTCTGCCATCCAGTGGCACTGGGTAATGTTTTGCAACAGGGTGACCATGAACTTTATGACTGAGTAAATGTAACATCACTGTCATGACAAGAAGCTTCATAAAACTGCCAGGGCGGATGTCTGGCTCTGTCTTCTCCTAAAGGAATAACCACTTTTCTGGAGCTGTAGGAGACTCATGGCAGAGTTTTAATGGCAAAAACCCTAAGGCAGAGCAGCTTTCCAGCCACTCTTCCCCAGGCCTGTAGAGTTGCATGGGGTTGTTGTGACCCAAGTGCAGGATCTGTCATTTGGTCTTGTTGAACCTCATACAACTGGCACTGGCCCATGGACATTGAAAGGTTCCACTACACCTCCCTCAAGAGTATCAGTGCTCCTTAAAAGATCATCAGTTTGGGGTGAGGAAAATAGAATTACAGAGTGGATAAATGCTGCTAACTGACAGAATGCACACCGAACTCCTCCAAACCACCTTCAGTACCCTAGTACAGCTAAGCCAGGATCACACAGCCCCAAATGGGAATTGTGTCTTGGAGAAGAAAGGAAAAGGTGACATAAGTATTTGGATCTCTGAACACACTTTTCCTCCAATTTAAGGGGAAAAATGGCCTTTACAGGCTAAGATACAATCATGTGGTATGAATCAGAATAAAATGAACAAATGTTCTATAAATGCATCAGAGAAAGGCTTCACCAGTAGCAGTATTTTCTTTTTCTACAAAAGGCTTAAAAAAGTAAAAGTTTGGCTAGAGCAGACCTAACCACTGCTTCAGTAAAAAGAAAAGCCCAACCCCCTCCAGATTTATTTTCCATTGAATAACTTTCCAGGGAGAATATTTTAAGCAGAAAACTATGGCAAGAACTTCAGAAGTCCTATGAAAATTGTTTCTGTAAGGAGAAGTAACCACAGCACTACAAAATGAAGTCAAAACAGGATTTCAAAAAGCAACTTGTATTTCCACTAAAAAATCCAGGCTTTACACGATCCTTTTTAGACTCCTGGCCGTCAGCCCGGACACAGAAAATTATACGAATCTCCCTGGCTTTAAAAATATGCCCTAGGGGGAGTTTCTGGGGCAAGTACCAGACGAAATGTAAAGCAAGAGATTTTCTTTCTTTCAGCATAAATATGAATGGGAAAATAACGCTTCCATCACCACCTTTCTTAACGGGTTCTTCTAAAAGCTGTACACAGAGTCTCTTGATAATACAATAAAAATGTAAGTGCAAGTTAATGCACCACTGACTCTAGAGTCATGCCCAGACTCTTGACCAGATTAATGTACCTGACTGTACTACTTAGAACAGATGTTGGAGCTGAGCTATGAGCGTGCTTAGGAAATTGAGGCTATTTTTTTTCCACAAAATCCTTAAATGTTTTCTGGCACACACTGACATGTAACACTAGTGAGCCTACTACTGTCCCCTTCACCACAGCCTGTAGAATTTTCTTCCAGAAGAAAACCCAAGAGGGGAAAAAGAACTTTTAATAATGGTTTCACCATGCAGAAGAATGGACTCTTGAACATTAGTGTTCATTTTGCATCTTCCTTCAATGCCATGTTATTTCACTTCAAAGCTTCCCAGGTTGTTACCAAAGTCCTTTTCTGTGTAAATGAGTATAGCCATTTAATCAGAATGCTTCCACATCGTGCCTGAGAGGGATCCTACCACATCATAATGAATTCTCATACTGTGGCATATATGGATTTAACATTTAGTATCTGCCTTGCTGCAAAGCCCCTTCCTCCTGAATTAAATGCCAGCTATTTAATTGATTTCAGTGCACCGCAGCGTAAATTACCAGGTAGGGAGAGATGCAGAACTAAATGTAAAAGACTCATTCAGGGACTACGCAAACATCAAGAAACCAGCAATGAAACTTCCAGGCAAGCCACGAAAGGAAGGAGATGGTTATCCAAAGCCAACTAAATGGAGAGAAAATTGCTAGGGCTCTAAATAGTCACCTGCCTGCTGTTTGCAGAGGAAGGCTTCACTCCTGCTCTGGGGGGAGCACTGATATTATACAGGACTCCTGGCAGATGTACATTACTGCCTTGTGAGCTGCCTACACCAGACCAAGCTATACAACAGAGGCATATATGCCCCCGTGCTCCCCTGAGCAGGGAGTCCTAATTGAGGAGTTAGTGATGGTGGGCTGAAGGAAGAAACTCAAGTCCATGCTGCCAGAATTTGTTGCTGTCAAAAAAACCATCAAGGCACATACTCTCACACTGAGGATTCAGTCCCAGCCCTTGCTGGGGAACAGACATTACATCAAATAACCCTCAGAAAGTACTTGTTTACTGTACTCACTAGTATAGGAAAATAATCAGATATGCTTGCCTGACTTATATAACCTTCAAATCTTTCTGTAACTTTAAAGATGAACACATTAGAACAAGTTTTATTTGGATTTTTGGCCAAACCTCTTGTTTTCCTTACTGACAACAGCAGCCTCTCAACAGCAGATATCTTAAAGAAAAGATCCATTTTCATCTGAACTGTTCACATACTTTTCTGTAAAAGCAAACAACATTATAATGCTGTCTGTTCAATGAAAATGTGGAAATGTTTTTCCATTATCTTATCTCTTTATTCCCAAGGCTGCAGAGGAAAAAAAAAAAAAAAAAAAACCCTAACAAAACAAATCACTTTCCATCAGATGTAGCACAGTGCTTTGATTGAAAATACCCCTCAGTGTTGCCTTGGTAATGAGTCCATACTGGGACACTTCAGACCAAGCTAACAATAACGAGTGCAATCTTTGGAGCAAGGATGGTGACAGTCGTCTACACCTGTTGAAGGTGACTGCCTACAAGTACTTCTGGAAATCATTATGAGAAACTCTTTTGTAGTCCCCAAGATGAAGAAGATTCTCAGCATCCCTGTGTTGCTGTAGGAAGGCTGGACTGATGCTTTTGGGCTCTAAAACATCTGGTCCTAGCCACAGCTGAAACCCTTACACCTAAAACAACACAAGGAAGCAACAGGGCAGCTGTTCAGAGCCATTCCCAGGAGAAGGTGCTGTGCTTGGAGGGGACACAGGAAGCTGGAGCTACGAGAAGTCCTGCCATAGCCATAAAAAAACAGAAGAAAAGCCAAAGTGCTAAGGGCAGCTGGGACCATTCACTGAGCACATTCACACTTTCAGGACCATACACAACCCACACAATTACAGGTATCTAAAAGTCATCTTCGTCTATTAAGCACTCTGTGGTCTATTAATCTGTTACCAGCAAACCTGCCCATGCTCTGATCTCTACCCCACCATTATGGACCCAAACCAGGAGTTAAGTCC